CCTCAGACAAAATTGAAGTTGAAAGACGAGATGCAATGGTTGCTGCCAGAAGTTCAAGTCGTGCTATGGTAATTTCTCCTTTTCCTGTAGGGGCTACTCTACTTCTCGCCTGTAGTAATTGAACTCGTACATTATTCTCAGACTCCACTCTAATGTAAACAACCACAGCATAGGCCAATTTACTTGCATCGCAAAAGAAATGAATGGAAGACTTCTTGGCTCCACTTAGTCCAAAATACCTTGGAATATTAATTTTCTCAATGTACAGTACACCTTCAATCCATTTCAAAAATTCTCTTCTGATGTTTTCATCAACATCATCATCCCAATTCAGTTTCAACTTCCAAATGCTCTGAAAAAGCAATTTTGGGATCAACATTACAGGACAGATCATACCCAAGGGGTCAAAAAGTCTATGTGCAGCTGACAGGATGGTTCTCTTCGTTACTTTCTCAATGTTAAGCTCTTTAATGCAACCTGTACTCACTTGAAGAGTATCATATTTCTTATCCCAACTCATACCTTTTCAGAATAATTAAAATTGCGACAGTAAAATATAAACGAAACATAAAAAATTCTTTTTTTAAAAAAATGAAAGACTTAAAGAATAAAATGTTTTATTTAAAATGAAATGTATACATTCAAAATACAGTCGAAATACATAAAAAAACCAAATATTGCTTCAGGTTTATCTTTATATTACTGCCCTCCCCACTCAAGTTTAAGCTTAGAGGAGTCTAAGAAGTTATCAAAAATTAAACTCAAACCTATTATTCTTTATTTTCTTCAAAAACATTAAAACATTTACATTTTTTGTCCTCTCTCCCATTCATTGTTCATAGACACGTTGTTTTTTTAAAATAATTCAATTTATAGTAATTTGTATTTTGTCTTAAAGTTTTCTATGAGAAAAACTAATCATGAAAATTTGTTAAGCTTTGCTTTTGGCTAAGACTTATTACTTGTATTACTTGCAGGCTAGTAATTTGAAGTCTTTAGCGCGGTCCCTGCATATTCATGTTTGCTACCGTGTTTCAATAAATCAGATGATTGTTTAGCAGCGCATCTGCTGCTGGAACACTAAAGTTGGAACACCAAAAGTTAAAAAATAAATATGAAAGAAATGAAGCAAAAAGAATAAGTAAAAAAATGAAGAATCAGTAATAGTATAATAATCAGTAATATTGTAATTAGTAGGCTTATTATAAAACAGGCCAAAAAGGGGGAAAAAATTAAAAAAAACAAATGTGGAAAAAAAGATGAAAAATATAACTATCATTATAAAATTAAAATGAACAAATAAATGAAGATTCTATTTTATATTGTAATTAATAGGCTTATAAAATAAACCAAAATATGAAGGAAAAAAATATAAATATAAAAAATGAAGTAATTAAAATAAGCAAATAATTAGAGGGGTTATTATGAAATATGCTACAAAATTAAAAAAGATAATAATAATAAAAATCAACAAATCAGAAAGATTCAGCTTTATATTTCAATTATAAGGCTTATTCTTGTTATAAAACAAGAACCAAAGTGGAAAAAATATGAAATAATTAAGAATTGAAAGGCTAATTTCGAGATTGCGATACTTGCATTCTGATTTCACATTTTCGATGCATCTAACAGTAGGTAAATGAAAAAGTGATAACTTGTAAAAAGCAAACAGGCTGAAAGTAAGATAGATGAAAGAAAAATTGATTATAAAACCAATTAATTTGTAGCTGGCTTTCGGGGGGGGGAGATAATAAATCCTTAGTTGATTTTAATCATAAACTGTTCCTTACTATTTACTTAATCACAGATAACAAAGACAAATAGTCCCGTTCTTTTCATAGCAGGAAAGCCACGGGCGAGTAAAAATATAAGATGTGGTAGAAACTTAATTTTTTTTCTTAATTTATTTCATTATTCAATCGTAACTACCACCACGATATACATTACAAATTATTCCAATATAATGGAAAAGTATTCTTTATAATATCTTACTGCCACCATAATGTAGCATAACACAAAATGTTTTAATACACTGTAAATTATTTCATGATGTATGGGTTAGAGGCCGCTGCGCGGCCCAGGCACCCAATTTGTTTTAAAGAAAGAAAGAAAGAAAATAATAACTTACAATAGTACCCTGAAAAAGTTAAACTAGAAAAAATTGCTAATTTTGATCACTTTTAACAGATTTTTGAATTTTGCGTCAACCCCGTTAAAATTATAATGACATACCTGCAGAGATGCCAACTGCTTCAGACGCGCGATAATAATTTAAAAAACGGTAAACAACTACAAACTAAAATTTGCAATTATTTGACTAATTTATCTTTTTTTGTAAACGGTGTAGCATGGCTTTTGTATTACAAAGAAGCGAATTATATAAGCTTTCGAATTATTTATTTAGATATAGTGGTGGATGAAAACCAACTGAAAATTGAATTTATTAAATCAAGAATCACACATTAATAAGCAACTCGAAAATATTTATTTGCTGTCCGGAACAAGTTGGCATCTCTGTACCTGCAAACTTTTAAACTTGCTCCGGACAGCAAATTTATATTTTAAAGTGGTAGATTATCAATTGTGATTCTTGGTTTAATAAATTAAATTCAGTAGATTTTTATCCACCACTATTTATAAATATTTCGTAGGCTTATATAATTCATCACTATATATGTTAAAACCCTCCTAAACAGCAAGCCAATATAGCAAATATTTGCAAAATTTACTTTGTCAGAGATGCCAACAGCTCCGAACACGCCAAAATAATTACGAAAACGGTAAATAACTACAGAGTAATTTTCAAGCATTTGACTATTCTAGCTTGCTATTTTAAAGGTTAGCATTACATAAGCCTACGAATTATTTAGAAATAGTGGTGGATGAAAATCTACTAAATTTAATTTTTTAAACCGAGAATCACAATTGATAAACTACCACTTTAAAATATATATTTGCTGTCCGGCACAAGTTGGCATCTCTGCTTTTAATCCTTTAGAGGATGACTTTCCCCAGTGGTAGTAAAATTGAATTTGAATTACAATTTCAGACAGAAACATCTGCTGCATTTTGAAGAACCTTTCATGTGGATAACCACATTATTACATATTAATATATATGCTTAATTTTTTTAAAAATAGTAATGGTCAAAAAGATAATATATTAAATTTATAAATGCAAGGAATATGTGTAAAAGCATACATTTTACTACCACTTTAAGTATAGAAATAAAATTTTACACCAAATGCGTAAAAGTTAGCAGGTATATAATATGCATATTATAATTGCAGGCCTGCCAACTACAACGCTTTTTACTAAATATTTCATTGAGTGGTAAACATTTAAAAACCAAAGCTTTCAAAAATTTTGGCAATTTTTTCAACATTTTAATAGCTTTACCACGAAGAAGGTGAAACAAAGTGGCATTGCATACGAACTTTTAAATCATTTATACTTTGTGGTGTGGAAAATAAGTGGGTTTTTTTTCTTCCAGTGCCCACCATTTAGAATGACCAACCTGGGCATCATACAGACATCTAAGGGCAGATTTGTTGGCCACTCTTTCAGGGGCACCCTATTAGGTGGCCAACGTCGCTCCTACAATAAGGACAGATAATACAGAAAAGGAAAGAACATCCATGCCTTGCCCGGGATTCGAACCCAGAACCTTTCTGATGCAAGGGCATGGAAAATAAGTGTAAATGAATAAAAAATAATGCATTAAAACAAGAAACATAACTACCACTAGAACAAATTTTTACAAAAAGAGTAAAAAGTTGGCAGCCTTGTAATTATTAAACAGTAAAAATATTTCACTTTACTAAAGGAAATTACAAAAAGGATATTTCACATTAACCGGTTAACGCCCAGCGTCATATATTTAGGACAGTTCCTTTTTTCAAAGACATTCATTGTGGTGGGAAACTTTTTTCAGCATTTTTATTTATCTGTGTGAATTAAAAGATTCTCAGATACCAGAATGATTTAGTTATTTCTGATTAGATCTAGAATTATAAGGAGAAAGTACTTTTTGACCTATCAAAGACTTTTTGAATGCCCTAACAGTAGAAAAACCAATTAATTTCGATAATATATTATACCACTTTTTCTACAAAACCACTTTTGTATCATTTCAATATATAAATTCGGGACAAAACGGGTTAAGTCGCGGATATTTTACTTTACCCGAAAGTGAACTGAAATGAAATGATCTTAACAGCTCTTGTTCTTTTCCGTTCTGTCTTGTTTTAAATATACATTTAGCCCTCGCAGCAAGGATGAAAGAAAAAGGGAAAAAATTCAGAAAAATAATAAGTTGTATTCAGAAAAATAATAAGTTGATTTTCAAATGAAAGTTTGTTGCAATAATAAGTCTTGCTTTTTAAAAATAATAAGTAAGTCAGAAAAATAATAAGTTGTAGTTGTCAGAAAAATAATAAGTCGTAGTTGTCAGAAAAATAATAAGTTGTTAGAAAAATAATAAGACTACCTCTCTCGTGATAAGGCTTTTAAAATGTTGGCATAATTATCAAAGATACTGAAAGCTTTTTAGTTTTTGATTTTTTGCCATTTTATTGTCTGTATTTTATTGTCCAAAATGCGTAGTAGTTGGCAGCTCCGATTAAGAACAGTAACTTTATTTTACTCCTCATATAAAAAAAACTATAAATAAAGTGATGTTACTACCAATATTTTTTCTTTTTCGTTTTATCATAAGCCCTGGTTTTTAATAAATAAGGGTTCAAAAGTCCTAAAATAAAATAATATGTAAATCAATACATAATGTATAATCTTATGTGCTTTTCTGGGCTACCGAGCATTTTTTGGGTTTATAAAAAATGTTTACATTTAACGTCTTCTTGAACAGCCATCTGCAGTGTAATTCTACGATCGTTTGACAAACTTGGAAGCATTAGAGACCTTATTCAGAAGTAAACCGAAAAGTGATAAAATTTGGATATATTCCCTGCTTGCTTAGGATTTTCAAATGAAACGAAGTTTACTAGAACGTGATTATTTAGTCTTAACTAATTTTTATATAATAGTATTGTTTTTACGTCCTTTGATAATTATTATAGACCTAATTCAGAAGTAAACCGAAAAGTGATAAAATCTGGATATATTCCCTACTTGATCAGGATTTCCAAATGAAACGAAGTTTACTAGAACATAATGTAGAACGTCTAGACTAAACATGAAAAAAGAATTAGGTTTAGTTACATAGTTTTAGACTAGTAACGCTGAACCAAGCATAACTTGAGACATTGAGTAAACGATAATGAAGCAACTGTGTGATTTCCACAATAATCTATGAGATAAGATCTTTAAGAGTGCTGAGGAGAAAGCATTTTTTAATATTAATATCCACAGTTTTTAATGCCTTAAGCAAAAATAAAAGATAAACTTGTATTTAAAACAAAATGTCGAATTTTCTTTCCTGGCATTTACTTGTTTGACTCCTTAGTAATCAATCATGCTGTGGCAATTCTGCTTGTCTCTGGCTTATTTACTTGAAAGAGGTCCGGTTTCAGAAGAACCCCTTGCGCCGCCAAGCCTCAGAATACCGTTGCAGATAAAATATCATGGACCACAATCATCAGAGGATATGGGTAAATTTTGTTCTTCATAGCTCTTGATCTTTTTAATTTATTGATAAATGATTTAGAATTCATGAGGAATAAATTTAAAATTTTGTGCCAAACGAAAATTTCACACAAAAGGAATAAAATTGTTGGGAAAATAAAACGAAAATTTATGTGTAGACCTTGCTTACGTAACCATAACTCTATATAAATATTTTCTTGTGGTAGCGAAGTTTATGTTTTAATGTATGATTCTTCGTTTAGTAAATTCGATTTATAGGACTTTTACCCGACGCTAAATAATTCCGGAGCCACTTTAAAGAGAAAAATTAAAAAGTGGTAGTATCATTAATGTCAATTTTTTTTATATTTTTATGTTTGTAGCTGAATATTTTCTTTTCTCTAAGTAAATATATATAGATAAAAAGGTAGCAAATAGGAAGTAATTTCTTTTTGACAGTAAAGCTAATTTTTCAGCTTCTTTATAACAAAATTGATGGCAGTTACATAGCTATAAATTTGCACGGCCATTGAGAAATTATTTTCTTAGTGGTTAGGTGTATTAAATCTTGAAGATTAAAGTGTCAAAAAAATTTTTTTTTAAACTGATACAACGAATTAATAATTTTAAAAAAGTATGCAGATAATACCTGTTTGTTTGCTAATTATATGTACTTATAGATGTCTTAATAATTTTGTTTTCGAAAATTCTTCTAAACTTAATTGTGGTTTGATTTCATTTCGTGAAATCTTTTTCAAAGACCGTGCAAGTTGGCAGGTATGCAGTTATTAATTTTTTACAGATGCTTATGAATCAAGACTTTTTAACGGTTATTTCGTTTTGAGTGTTTTAAAAAGTTGTCAAAATCTGCAAGTTTTAGTTCAAGGTTCTCTATCGAAAAAAAAAGTTTCTTTAAAGTTCTCTCTCTAACATTTTGTAGAATTCTAGCGGGTGCTGGGATGCCACAAGCTTCTAAAAATGTAAAAGTGGTAGAAAGTCATTTCACTTTTATTTATTTATTATCGCTTTAATTTTTTAATCGTAACTACTATAATAACTTATTTATCAAATTATTCTTATTTAAAACAGAAATAAATTATTTCAGCTTTATTTTATTGCGCCTGATATCTTAATTTTTGACAATAGAGTTCTCTCCAACCCTACTTATCTCATTTTATGGCTTGTTTTTTTCTATATATATATATATATATATATATACANATATATATATATTTATATGTCTTCTCAGTTTATGTCTTTTAGATTACGATGAATCAGTAAGTGGCGCTTCGCGCCAAACACCAAGAGCTCAACAATATTCATAATCTTTGCACTATCTTTCAATATAGTTAACTAAGAAAAATTTCTATAACAAAAAGCCAATTTTTATTTCTTTTAATAAAATTTTGATTTTTTAGTAGACTGTGGCATCCCTGTATATAGGAACCACATTGTATTATTGATTCAACATAAAACTAAGCATTGGTGATTTGAAATTGATATAACATTTTCTGCAATCCACAGAGAATAAGATAAAATTGTTTATCAGAGTTCTCACTATGCTTAAAAATTTATAAAAGTAGTGCCAATTTTAAATTTAAAATAAGATGGAAATTTAACTTCATTAATTTTCAATTTCGAATTAAAATATCTGAACCTGAGATTTTACATCTCAGTTTATGCTCTGCTAGCAATTATCCTTTCGCACCTTGATTTGACTCAATTAAAGTTACAGTGCAACCAATTAAACTTTTGCGATTAACTCAAAGAAGAAATCCCTCTTATGGGACTTCAATAATCACCGTTAGGAAATTAACGTTGAAAATTTGGAAAGCCGAATTTTCCACATCACAAAAAAAAATATTATTATTTATTTATTCATTCATACTTGATAAATTTGTTTTAACATGTAATTAGGGTTCATTTTTATTGACCCTAATTTTATTCATCGATCCGGTTTCATGAAGCCAAGACAAGTGGTATATCCGCACTAAAAAAAATGACATTGACTAAAATTAAAATCAATTACGAAAAATTATATACCTTCGATAAAATTTTCAAGTCAATAGAGGTAACCCCTAAGAACAACCTAACCACCATTAACAACCATTTTACTGTGGGACAGAGAGTGGTCGCTAACGAGAGGTTTCACTGTAAACTACTATAAATATTTTGATGAACCACAGAACGCTCAGAATTCCTTGAAATAATGACTTCGTTCAGATCTCAGTAGCGTAGACTGAATGTCGACGTGTAACAAAATGTTTCGTGACTTTCATTTTAAGTTTTCGTTGATCTTTCAAAGATATTTGATTGAACTACTGTTTAAGATACAGATTTTTCCTTGAATCTGATATTCACGAATAGAAATAAGTTTTTAAGAGGAAATGATAATCAACAAATCCACTAAAAGAGATATTTTGCTAGAGACGCACTCTGGTAAAATGCAATGCCCATGAATGAAAATAGAAAAAATAGATCATTGTGAAATTGAATTGTGACAACATATAAGCGAAAAAGAAAATAAATTTTGTGCAAAAGAGAAAACAAAAAAGAACAACTTCGGCTAACAGATCTCACAGGACACGGTTAGCAGAAATACTCGAATGAAAAAGATTCGGATAATGCGGGCTGAACTGTATTTTGTCATTAACTCATAAAGGTGCTTTTAGGAAAATTTCAGTGGCAATAATTTTATTAAGATTTATTTTTAAAATTTATGTGTGCTTTTCCGTACCTTTTTCTAACGTTTTTATCTGAAAAATGAGTATAAGTTGTTTTTAAATAAAAAATAAATGTTTTTAAAATTGCTGTTATTTTCAATTGTGGACATATATTTTTATTATCAGCTTTATTGGTCACAAATATGCTAGATTCTAATTTATTTAAATTTATTTTATTTATATTTATTTTATTTATATTTATTTTATTTATATTCATATTTATTTTTTTATATTCATTTTATTTTATTTATTTATTTATTGTTTAACAGGAGAGGCCTACAGGGCTCTGTATTCAGAAAATGATATGATACTTCCAAAGGGGTTCAGCAATGGCGTAAGTTAAATATTTTTAAATATTATTTTGCTGTTGTGATCGTATCAACATTTCTAGTACAGTGAAACCAGAACTCATAAAAAATGTTTTTAATTATAAAATTGACCTTGTTAATTTTATTTTCGACCGATTACCAACTGTTTTGTTTACTCTTAGAAGATGCTCAACTGGGAATCTTGCCTATTCAAGGTTGCCACACGCGTCTAAAAATTTAAGAAGNTTTCCCTTGAATCTGATATTCAGGAATCGAAATAAGTTTTTAAGAGGAAACGGTAATTAACAAATCCACTAAAAGAGATTTTTCGCCTGAGACACTCTGGTAAAATGAATGAAAATAGAAAAAATAGATCATTGTGAAATTGAATTGTGACAACATATAAATGAAAAAGAAAATAAATGTTCGTGCAAAAGAGAAAACAAAAAAAGAACAACTTCGGCTGACAGATCTCACAGGACACGGTTAGCAAAAATACTCGAATGAAAAAGATTCAGAAAATCCGGGCTTAACTGTATTTTGTCATTAACTCATAAAGGTGCTTTTAGGAAAATTTCAGTGACAACAATTTCATTAAGATTTATTTTCAAAATTTATGTGTGCTTTTTTGTGCCTTTTTTTAGCATTTTTATCTGAAAAATGAGTATAAGTTGTTTTTAAATAAAAATAAATGTTTTTAAAAATGTTGTTATTTTCAATTGTGGTCATGTATTTTTATTATCAGCTTTATTGGTCACAAATATGCTAGATTCTAATTTATTTACGTTTATTTTATTTACATTTATTTTATTTATATTCATATTTATTTTTTTATATTCATTTTATTTTATTTATTGTTTAACAGGAGAGGCCTACAGGGCTCTGTATTCAGAAAATGATATGATACTTCCAAAGGGGTTCAGCAATGGCGTAAGTTAAATATTTTTAAATATTATTTTGCTGTTGTGATCGTATCGACATTTCTAGTACAGTGAAACCAGAACTCATAAAAAATGTTTTTATTTATAAAATTGACCTTGTTAATTTTATTTTCGACCGATTACCAACTGTTTTGTTTACTCTTAGAAGATGCTCAACTGGGAATCTTGCCTATTCAAGGTTGCCACACGCGTCTAAAAATTTAAGAAGTGGTAAAAAATCAATTCATTTTTTGTTTATGTAATTTAGCTCTTTAATTGACCGCGTAACTACAACCATGACATACATTGCAAATTATTGATATTTAAACCGAAAGTATGAATAATTTGCAGTAGTCAACTGAGAGATATATGCTACAAAAATTCGCTAATTCTAATCTTTCTAAAAAGATTTTTGCTTTTTTATTAATCACTACTTTTTACATTTTTAGTCGACTGTGGCATTCCTGTATATTTTACATTCTTGTTTTCCTTGCATTTCTAATAAAAAAAATGATGTGTTTTTATTTTTTTTAAATAATTTATTAAAAAAAAATGTATGTCGCATTTTTTTGCTCATTGAAATAAGATGGGAATAAGAAAAAAGCAAAAATAAATATGAATAAACTATTCAACAATATCTACTGTTACACGGGAGAGAAGCAGTTTTATATGCATGCTATAATTGTAAAAAAAAAATCTTGGTAGTTACAGAAATATAATGCTTCTCGAAAAAAAAAATGCTAAAATGAAATGCCTTTCGCACCAGTTTTTGCTCGTTTCCGTTTCGGTTCATATAGGCTTTCCGGTCTGGTCAAGTTAAGTGCCTTTGCCCAATAAACATTTGCCCGGTATGCCCTACATCAATGTTTTTTAAGGTCAAGTGCCACTGCCCAGTATGCATTTAGACGGTACTCCGAACACTGATGTTTCTCTTAATCTATCCTCAGCAGATATTAAAATATAGGATAAATATAATATCAACGAATAAATTAATGTCACATCGGATATAACACATATTTCAGACATTCACCGAAGCGATTATGCAATTCTTGACAATCACCGGTGAAAATCGACATTCTTTTTTATCTTGGTCATTCGCTGTAGCATATATAATATATTATATCTATACATAGTCTCAGTTCTATATACATAGTTTCAGTTTTCAGATTCAATGCACCTAAATAGTTCGCATTATCCTCCAAAAAATATTGAAAATTTATGGAATATTCACGAAAATATAAATCAATTATAAATTACTTCATTTGCCTATAAAAGGGTAATTAACTTTAAAACTTGAAGGCCATAAATTTTCGCTAATTTTAGGAACATAATTACTTACAGTATACTTTCTGTCTCCTTTAATTATCCTCTAAAACAAGATCAATATTGTCTCGGCTTTAAATGGGATTTTATAATAAGAAATATTTTTCAAAACCCCATTCTAATTTTGAATCATTAACTATTTAAAATCTGAACTTCAGTAAGTTGTAGAAAAAAGACCAACGTGCCTTTACTTTAAAAAGTGACTAGNTACAGTAGGGAACCGATTATCCGGAAGGATCGGGACCATCGCTATTCCGGATAACTGATTTTTCCGGTTTTCTGAATCGCTATAAAAAGCCGTTTTTTTTTATTGTTAAACCCAATTAAAAAAAAATAATATTTGGAAATAATCTTAAAAAGAAGAAAAAACGATACACTAATGATTATTTCCAAAATGATGGTAAGGTAAAAAATCTTTCAAAAAAGAAAGAAAACTCCTAAAATCTTATGAGGAAAAAAACATTTTTTTTAAAAAATGTTGGGAAAATTTATCGAATTTTGTTCCGGTTTTTTGGTTTTCCGGTTTTCTGATTTCCGGATAACGGGTTCTGTACTGTAGTAATTTTTTCATTTTTTCGGGTGTTTAAATTACACAGCTAAATTAAACCTTCATTGATAATTTTTAAAATTTATTAATTTGGAGTCTTTATTTCACAGGGTATGGGAGATACTAGGTACCGTTGGCCAGGATATCCCGGAGCAGCTTTAGTACCATATGAAATTGACGAATCTCTTTGTAAGTTATAAGTTTTAAATATATGTCTAGTTCTAAAGTTATAATGCTAATTTTTATTAAAGTAAGAGACAATAAAGTCGATATTTGCTTTTTAAAATTTAATTTGCTACCGCCGTAAAAAAATATTTCTTTAAATACATCATAGCAAAATTTAGATATTTCTATTTTTAACAACCACTTTAAGTTAAGAAAATGTGCAATCAAATAATTTTAGACCGAGTCATTTCATGGGTCTAAAACACTAGTATTTAAATTATTTCATCATTAGTTTTTAAATTGAGGAAACAAACCACGCCTTTTCTTCGAAATTTATTTCTGATATAAAACCTCGAATTTTATATATATAATCGCAGAATTTTGATTACATTCATACTTGATTGGTAGTTAACAAAAGGAAATTTTCTCTTATTTTCAACGACATTTATTTACCACTCTTTTTTTTAAAAATAGCACTTTTCACAACATTGCTACATTAAAAAAAACCGACGTTAGAAAATATTGCGATTTTAAAATAAAGGGCAGTTAAAACTAACAAAACTTCTTAACGCCTTACGACCGAACCGGCACAATTGTGCCAATGTGAGAAAAGTGGTTAATTTTTAAAATATTCATTACAAACGCAAACACAAATTTTAAAATTATGAATGTATTCTAGTGGGCATGGATTATCTCTTAATTCTTATATTTATCCTAGTAACAAAATAGCTCTCACCACTTTTTTTACGTTTCGAGCTTTTTCATGGGAGAAAAATAAGTACTTTCTAATTACATCCGGTCTTAAAAGGATAAGCGTTATTTTTTATGTTATCATTATTGCTAAGTTTTTAAATTTATTATTATTTCTAAGTTTCTAAATTTATCATTATTCCCATTTCTTAAATTTATTATTATCATAATTTCTAAGTTTTTAAATTTATCATTATCCTCATTTCTAAGCTTCTAAATGTATCATAATTTCTAAGTTTTAAAATTTAACATTATCATTATTTATAAGTTTTTCTTTTTGTTATTTTACTATAACATACGAATTAAAATGAATTCCTTTTAGATGAACAACGTGGACTTATTGAGAGAGCTATGAACCAATTCCATCAACATACCTGTGTTAGGTTTGTACCAAGAACATCCGAAAGTGACTACGTCAGAATTCGAAGGGGCAACAGGTAAATGGAACTCAGTGATTATGTTCTATAAGTTGTCCCGAAAGCGATTATATCAATATTATTAATGAGTATAAGCCAACAATAAGTGTGCTTCGTGTCTGATTAATGTCTACATTTTAGTGCAATATTTGTGCTGAGTAACTTGATCGAACCATCCTTTATCAGTTCTGGCTGTCTACTAGAGATGAGGTGGGCTCAGTCCGAGCTCGGGCCCGACCTCATTTACTGGAAAAAGTTTACGGCTAGGCTCGAACTCATAATAAAGCTTTTATAAAAAAATTTTATTACTTATAAATAAACGCTTGGTTCTGAGCCGTGGTGCCTTAGGGAATAAAGCGCTCGCCCCTCAATGAGGTAAGACGGGTTCGAATTCCAACGATGGTTGGTCGATGCAAATACCGCCTCGGTTCGTACCGATTACACTACTGACACAAAAATATCCTCTGTAGTGGATGTATAATGCGTTAGAGTCCCCTTGCTGTCAGGCGAACAGCGAAAGATTTTCGTGGTTTCCCTCTCCATGTGTCGCCGCGATGGCTCGGGGGATAGAGCGTTCGCCTTCCAATGAGGTGAACCGGGTTCAAATCCCAGTCGATACGAATTCCGCATCCGACTTGCACCGACCACAGTGCAGTGCTGATGTGAAATATCCTCAGTGGTAGACGAATCCTGGGTTAGAGTTCCCTTTTCGTCAGGCTAACCGTAGAAGATTCTCGTGATCTTCCTCTCAATGCAACGCAGATGTGGGTTAGCTCCATCAAAAAGTCCTCCACAAAGGCGAATTTCTCTCAATACTGGATCCAGGAGTTCCCTTGTCTTCTGGATTGGGTTCAAAATTACAAGGCTACGGAGTTGAACATAAGTAGTCGTAAACCCATGAAATTGGGTCGGCTTTTCAACGACGGTTATAAAATAAAATATAAAATACTTGATCCAGGAGTTTCTTTGTCTTCTGGATTGGGTTCAAAATAACACATCTGTGGAATTGAACATTAATAGTTGCAAACTCAAAATAGGGTCGGCTGTTCAACGACGGTTTTAAAATAAAATTAAAAAAAGGAAGAATCGCAGCGACTCTGGACGTAGAAAGCTCGAAAGGGGTTTGAATCCCAGCGATGGTTGGTGGATACGAATTCTACACCCGATTTGCTCCGACCACGGTGCTGACATAAAATATCTTCAGTGGTTGACGGATCATGGGTAAGAGTCCCCTTGCCGACAAGTGGAAGCCCGTGGAAGGTTTTCCCCTCCATGTAACGTAAAAGCGAGGTAGTAACATCAGAAAATCATCCAGGAAGGCAAATTTCTCTCAATACTTGATCCAGGAATTTCTTTGTTTTCTGGTTCAAAATAACAAGGCTACGGAGTTGAACATTGATAGTTGTAAATTCAAAATTGGCTCGGCTGTTCAACGACTGTTATAAATAAAATATATCAGCAATTATTATGAATATTTTACAATATGTAATAATATAATACACTTGTTAGGTTTATATATATACACATACAATTGTCTGTTCTTTTGAAACTAACACTTAATACCAAAAACATTTGACCTTAAAATATCTCCTCATGAACTGCAACGCAATAATGCCTTTTTTCAACAACCACTTCCTACGTATCAGAGAAGTGGGAGAACATAGCATTCAGTCCTGTGAATTTTTAAAAAAAAATATGCTTAGAAATATATTATTAAATTACATAAAAACTACAGGTTGTAGAGAAAAGCCGATTGCAAAATTGAAATCATGGACGCTTCCAAAATTCTTGCGCAACAGAAAATAGAACAAAAATTGTGTCTAGTGTAATAAATGGATCGCTAGAAAGCGTATATCTTGATTCTCCAAGATAAATTTCAAAAATGAAATAAGTGAATTACTTTTTGATGAAAATTCGTGGGAACATTTGGCCTTTAATGAGTTTCGATTCATCTGTGTGGAGCAAATCGCGCGCTTCGTGCTGAGTCCATTGCTTCTGCTATTGTATCCCCGTTTTCCTCTTCACTCTAAATTAACTGCTTAACCAAGCAACAATATTTGGTCAGTTACGATTCGTGAATTAGCGAATGCCTCTGGGGCAGTAACTGAAATACTGTTGCTTATATATATCTATTAAGAGATGATGTTCATAATGAATTAAATGACATGCTTGCATTATTTCCTCCATGCTCGGAACTATTCTTCCTTGCAGACTGCCCTGTTATATATATAATTACTTGAATTTTAACTGTTACTGAAAATGTTTTTCTATGAAAGACGTAATATTTAGAAGCTGTATTTGTGATTCAGAGAATTCATTAACGTATTAATATAGTAACATATTAATAATATATTCATTAACGTATACAAAATAATGAAATAAATAAAAAAAAATTAAGTATGAAAATAAAGCAATATCACAACTGCAAGTTGTGGTTAAGGGGGTTCATGGTGGTTAAGGCTCCACAATTTCGTGACCAATGGCATGATTTTGGCACGGTGGTCAGCATTAAGCACATGCCGCCTTTATTTCCTAGACCACCTGCTACCCATCTGTCTGAAGCTGAGCAGCATATTAGAATATGCCTCTCCCAAAATTAAGATAAATTTCGGTAGATTAAAATATAGAGCAAAAATTATTATTTCTTACTTCCGTTACGCTGTTAGACGTTTGTTTTGAATATGTGTTTCTTACGAATTGCAGCTGTAAATCTGTTGTGGGTCGTAATTCTGGTGAACAAGAACTTATCTTGGATGATGGATGCATGTACATTGGAACTATTGTACATGAACTTGGTCACACAATTGGAATGCTCCACGAACACCAGAGATCAGACAGAGACTCTTACTTAACCATCTACAACGAAAATATCGAAGAAGGTAATAATTTGAACTTATAAAAATTTGAGTCATAATATAGTTTCCAAAACTTATAGTTATTTCTTTTCTTTTAAAAAAGTATTTATTTTTTGAAATATAGTCAGCTGAAAAATCAGATTTGAATTTTGTATGTATATATATNCCTGTGTCTGTTTCCCTGCTCGGTCCGACTGCATCATTTTACATATATATATATATATATATATATACACATAGCATAGAAAGCTTCTATTAATCTTTTTATGTTATCCTAATTAATTATTCCATTCGAAACACTTTCTCATACTTTTTAAAAGCCACAAAGTTCTTAAATCTATTTTTGGCTCAAGTATGCATAATTTAAAGTTAAGACATTTTTCCCCTTTACCCTTTGTGGGAATCACACGACCTATTTAACAAACCAATTGTAATTACTAAGATTTCCCTTTTTCCCTAAAATATAACAAAATAGAGGGAAATTCATTTGTTACTTTTCCTAAATTTAATTATGCTAAAACTAATTATGCTAAAACTGGAAATTCATTTGTTACTTTTCCGATAGGATAAAAACTTAAGCACACAGTTTCGGAGAGGGAATTTGAGCTCCGCTTTTGATAGAAAATGTTTTGAATATACTATGTGAAGCTAATAAAATATTTTCGCCTTACAACTGCTATCTGCGTGGCCCAACAACACTCACCATAACTGCCACCTTTTCATATATATATATTTCGTTCCCTGGAGCATCTTTTTAGGAGATCCCGTAGTCGCTAGGATCAGATCTGGAGAGTATCGTGGGGAAGTAATTCAAAGCGTAATTCATTCAATTTAATCATTGTTTCCCCGAATTCTAATAAGGTGCATTGTCTTGGTGAAACAGGACTTTTTTTTCTTCACTTGTGAGGGTGTTTTTTCTTGATTTCCTAGCTCTGTCGATCCAACAATGCCATATAATATTCGCTATTGATAGTTTTATCTTTTTCAAGATAGTCGACGAATAAATTACCATGCGCGGCCTAGCCTGCGTGTCTGCATTAGCTTATATTGACTAGTGTTATGAAAATTCCTGAAAATTACACGCGGTACTTCTTAAATTCGAGCATTATTTAAATGATTCATTAATCTCATAAATTATAATGTAAAAATAGGGTATGATGCATTTATGGTACGGTATTTACGTGATTATGCTACGACCTGGAACAATTAATAAATTCTAGCTCAGGTTTCTTTGGCAACTAAAAATGTTTATATTTAGTTTCCTCTTGAACGTACAATGAAATTATAATACAAAAATAGGGTGTGATGCATTTATTGCACGGTGATTACGACCAGGAAAAATTAATAAGGTTTGGCTAAGGTTTCTCAGGCTACTAAAAAGCTGCTAGTTGCTAGTTGGAACGTAAAAAATCGTTTTTCATTTGTTGTTTTTTTTTGTGTGTGTGCTCTTACGTGTATTTTCCTTAAATAGAAAAGTTATTGTCAGATACAAATAACTGATAACCTCTTTATTTTTCTCGAATTCGCTACCACTTTAGAAGAAACTTCTCGACCGGAACAACTTTGGTTTGTAATAATAAAATTATAATTTAATGAAAGAGAGAAAAAAATATGTATTTACTTACAGGTCAATTTTTAAGGGGGGTAAGAAAATGTCATTTTAATTTAGAAATCAATTGTGTCAATCATTGATAAATCCAAACAATAAAATTTTTTTTCTCTAAGGTAACTTAAAGAAATAATATTTATTCAATACTTCAAAAAAATTAGTGCAATACAAATATTTTCACGAATATTGTTATGATTAGTTTAAAAAAATCATTTTTGTTATGATGATATAGATAAATTGTTTTAATCAAATTTTTCATATATTGAAATACATAATTATGTCATTTATCGTGATGTAAATTTTTTTATGCTTAAAAAATGTTTCAAATTATGCTAAATTGCGTTAACTTTTTTTTTATAAGTTTTCTACTTTATTTTGTAATTGTGGAAAGTTTTTGATTCATATAAGGATCACACATTTTGATTCACTAAATTGGTGTTGTTATTCACTAAATTGTTGGATAAGTAAGATTCGCGAGATATGGTATTTTACAGAAGTAATTTTCATTTAATATTTCATAAAAATTAATGTAATCAGTATAATTTTGTGAATATTATTATGGTTAGTTATTTAAAAAATAAGTTTTATTATGATGATACTAATCAATGGATTTAGTTTTTTTTCTTCGTATTTTGAAATTGATAATTATGTCATTTATCATGATGTAAATTATTTTTTCATGTTTAAAAAATATTTAAATTCCATAAACCTCTTTTATTAGTTAATTATTTAATTAGCAAATTTTGCAACTGTAAAAGTTTTCAGGCCGGAACAGCCAGGTTGATAGGACGTTGGGCCCGCATTCGTGAGAACGTGAGTTCGAATCCCGCTGGCCGAGGAATCACCGTGTACCAAATGGTGCCGGTGCACGTTAAATCTGTCAGAGTCGCAAAATCCCCCAAGTTCCTATAACAAGTAAATAACTTGAGGGTACTGAACTGGAGAGTGATCTTCTCTGATTCAGGTTAAAATTGCGATCTGTTGATGAAAAAATGGAGTATGAATGGGTCCTTCCCGTTAAACGTGTGAGTGACTAAAGTCGCATTCTTGGCCACAGATGGTGTAACTGAAAAACAAGAAACGCACCCTCTGTCTTAAAAGTTCGCTTGGATTCCCATTCAAGTTAGATTGTGGAGATATGACAAAATTGCAAAAAGTAGATCAAATATTCAAATGCTCATATGAATCTAAACCAATGATATCATTGACAAATTCATTGGCTTAAGCATTGACCATTCATGCATCAGAACAAACTGTCTTGACATTGTGAGGGGTTCTTTCCTAAGAAACAGCTTGTATCTTTCTCGGTTTCGGATCGATGCGGACCAGATGAGACGGGCTCGTTTACTCTGGCTCAATTTCTGCCGGGCTCGGGCCCATAATGAAATTTTCATAAACCTTTTTACTACCTTTAAACAAACTTTTAAAACAATTATTATGATTAAAAAATGCAAAATGCATTAATTTTAATTGTGATTAAAAAGGTTTAATAAGTAATTTCCTTAAATGGACCTAATAGCGAGACTGTTAAATGTTTCTTTTATTAAACGTATATCTCGGGCGGAGACTCGGACTCTAAGTAATCCTATGTATCTCGGGCTCGGATAAAAATTCTTCGAGCTGGGACAGGCTCGATCCTACAAAAACGAGCCCGAACTCATCTCTACTACCAACTTGTCTGGGAAATAAAGGAATTTTCGAAATTGTGGAGCCTTAACCTCCAATGATCCGCTTAACCAACGACTGTTCGTTGCGACAGTGCTTACCTTTAAATTATTTTATTACTATTATTTTGCTTTTTGAAACAAATAATTAAATAGAATTTGTCTTTGAAATCCTACTTAAGCATGTAAAGTAGAGAAAGAAGCTAAAAACAGAAATCGCCAAAACCAATTTCTTTATTTTATGCACTTAAAATCATGCATTTTAAAAATAAATTTAAATCTTCTATGTTTTTTTTTCTAATTGATTGAACAAAACCAAAGATTTAATATTGAAAGATATTAGTCTCCATTTTATTTCAGAGTATTTTTTATGATTAAAATATTTAATAAATTTAATTTTTCTCAGGACAAGAAGACAGTTTTTCAAAGATTCCCTCTGAATTAGAAGCTTCTCTTTCTTCATTTAACCATAACTCCATTATGATGTATGGAAACTACGCTTACTCTAAGCAACCTGGAGATTTAAAAACCATGGAATCTAAGAATGGTGCAGAATTGATTGACCCGTTCCAGAAATCAGGCCTTCACCATAAAGATATTGAACAAATCAACAGACTCTACCAATGTCGACGACAATAAAGTGATAAATTCTAAAAATGTTGGACAGCGTGAAAAAAATGATGCGATTAAATAATTGTTGTTTCTAAATTCAGTAAAATATTTATTAAACATTCTTTATTTTGTCATTTTTGTAGAATCTAAGATATTGTAACTCTAGATAAATAAGAATATTTAACTGATATCATGCAATCTGACTTTTCCTGATTTGACGGGAGAGTTTTTTGTGTATTTGAAGTAACGTTAAATTTTTACCCTTTTGCTTTTTATTCATTAATTTCAAAAATTTTGACCCCAACTATATCTGAGCAATTTAATCTAATTTATAAGACATGATATCCATTCAATGAAGTTCTTAGGTGCTTACAGCATTAAACAAATTAAGTTTGCCTTAACTATTCTTTCGTTACCACTTTTAATATCATAGGGAGCTTGGACTTCTGGGTTGCTAATTTACATTCCAGTGGGCTTTAACGACTTGCTCTCTTTATTGAAGTTTCTTCTTTTGGTAGTAGCTTGTCGCAATTACGATGCAAGCTTTAATTTATTTTAAAACTTGTTACTTGGACTAAAAAAAGTCAAGAAGTTTAGTTAAGAAAATCCCAAACAAGTGAGGGCGTCGTTAAATGTCGCTGGATGGGAAAATCGCTTCCTGATCGGCATCTCTGTGATAATATTTGAAATATTTTTTCCACTTTTTTTAAAACTTTTTACAGCGCAGTATTGCTAGTCTGGCATCGCTCAGTCCGAAAATATTACAAAACACTAAAAATGTAAAACTATTTGCTTCTAATTGCACACCAATTTTTAGCAACCACTAATTTTCAAGCAACAAAGGGGCAAAGTATGTCTGTCTCATCAAGGAGAATATGCAGTTGCCAACCTTGAAGCTCTAGCTTCCCATAATATTTAAAATGGTAGCCTAAAAGCAATTTAAGATAAACTTAATTTGTTTAATTTTGCCCTAATTTCAAATCTTTCCTGTATCATTAATAGATATTTAAGCTGCTTATATGCAATGGTGGGCATAAATTTATTAAACTAATAATAAAATGTCAAATCATTAAATTTACTACCACTCCTTTATATGTTGTAGCCATTTAAGGGTCATATTTTTCTTTTTATATTTTAATAGCGGATTCGTAAAAGAATCCACAATCCGCTTAATGGTATGGAAGCTATTATTTAAAATTTTCAATTTTTTAGTACAGTTACTTCGAACGACCTTCACTCTAAAGTTAGATGTCAACCAAGTGAACGATTTTTAAGGGTTGCTTATTGACTAGCCTGTCATTAAGTCACTAACCTGGTTCTACCAGGCATAGAATACTCAATATCACTTACCTGGTTCTGCCATTGAGTATTTTTGGAATTAATAGCAATATAAATGAATGTTACTTATTTAAATAAGGCAAAAACAAGAGCTTAACAGGAGAAATTTGAATCCTTTTTTTTTTAAAAAATAGCACCTACCTGGCTTGAAGCTGATTCAGTTTATTCTGAGAAGTATGAATTGCTTTTTAAAGGTGCAGATTCACCCATTGTTTTATTATTTTAAAGTGGTATGACGACAACTTTTTAACTGCATGAAACTGCCCAAATATCGTGTTTCAGCACTCAACGAAAGTATACTACTTTCGTTGTATGACTTCAAAATTTGTTTTTATCGATAGTAACTTTGCCAGAACCCCTAAAATAAATTATTTTATTAAAAATAAATTTATTTTTAACTGATTAAAAATAAATTAATTTTACTTATTTATACTAAAACAATATTAATGAGGACAGATTCCGAATTATTTATTTCGAATTACTTTCATTATGTTTTATTATTCAATTAAAATAGTTAAATTATTTCATTTTTGTATTAAATGAAATATAACTTAATTACTTTTTAATTTAATTAATGTTTACATTTTCGACTAGCAATTTAAAAATTTTAAAGTATAATTCTAAAAATATAAAAAAGTACGAAAATTGGGAACTTAAAATGAAATCATGTTTGTACAAAGAAATCTAATTTACTAAATAAATCAATTTGTTATTCAGTTCAAATATTACATGCAAATGCAAATACATTGATTTATACAAATAGTTGTTTACCTACAAATGATTCAATTTGGCTGAAGTGTGCAATATCTAATAAGATGCCACATTATACATAAAGAAAAAGAAATGTCTAACTTATAAAATGTGAATAAAAGTTATTGCAAATGACGGTAAAACGGAAAATAAAAACAATAAATAATCTATCTATCTATATTATATAAAACGCTAATGCGTACGTATGTATGTATGTATCAATAAAACCGATGATATTTCTTTTCTCGCGCTGGCAACAGTTTTCATTTTTAATTGATTGGATTCGGCGCGCAAGAGCACGTAGTGAGCAACCAGATAACAATAACCAGAGTGAGCATTATCAGGTTGTTCAATTCAGATTCATGCACTAAAAACATGACAATATTTAATTTAAACTCAANCACATTAAAAAAATATCTATATTATATAAAGCGCTAATACGTATGTATCAATAAAACCGATGATATTTATTTTCTCGCGTTGGCAACAGTTTTCATTTTTAATTGATACGCTTCGGCGCGCAAGAGCACGTAGTGAGCATCATATGGCTAATCTATATTATATAAAACGTTAATACGTTTTAATAGATAGGCTTCGGCGCGCAAGAGCACGTATGTCTAATCGGGAGAATTCTCGCCAAATTATCCAAAAAAATTCTCACAAAATTATCTTCATCGAAGCCGATGCTTTACATCCGGCGTATGTTGTTTTACAACACATGGTTTTAGCCCTCTGGTGGGAAAGACTTTAAAACAAATCCTATAACAGTTACTTTTCTCAACAACTGAAATTTAGAATAGTGTGATTAAGAAAAATATGCGAACTGTTTTCAATTTTAAATTAATATTGAAATGCACAGGCTTAGAATTTTCTACAGTGAAAAGTTTTCGGAACTTCAGTGTTCAAAAAAGTATACAAAAGCTAGACGTTAAGAACGTATCCAATGAGCGAGCAAAGCGAGTATCGGAGTGCGAATCAATCCGAAATGAACTGCGAAAGCAGTTTCGGGGTTGGCGAGCGCTAGCGAGCAGGGGGCGAAGCCTCCTAGTTTCTATTAAAACACTTGCAAGGGAAGGGAAGCGTGACTCGCCAATTTTGAAATAAACTAGTGGGATGTATGCCTTATGAGGAATATTTTTAGGGGGCAACATTCGTTTCGGCCTATGAAGGTTCTATGAGGGATAAAAAATAATTCAATATATAGAAAAATCGGTAATTTATTATTTCAATGCAGACTATTAGTTATTGTAATTATCTCATACTCCCATTAATTTTGTGGTACTTTCACGTACTATAATGCATATTTATTGTCAAAATTGATTTCGAAAATTTTATATATCTGTTGTTTTTCAGAAATACCTATTAGGTTAATTTTAAAAAAATTGGCATCAAATTTTAAAAAAAGAAAAAAATTTCAAAATTTTTTTTAGATTAATTGGTGTATGTAATTGCGAATTAATTAATTAATTAATAATTAGTTAATAATTGATTATTAGTTCATCAGTTTGCTAATTAATTAATTAAATAATTTGCAAATTAATTAACCAATTAAATGCAAATTAATTGGAGTATGAGATAATTACAATAACTAATAGTCTGCATAAAATACCGACTTTTCTATATATTGAATTATTTTTTATCTCTCATAGGAGCTTCTGTGGGCCGAAATGAATGTTGCCCCCTAAAATTATTCCTCATAAGAAGGCATACATCCCACTAGTTTATTTCAAAATTGGCGAGTCACACTTCCCTAGTTTCCCTTGTTAGTAATAAAATCAAATAAAAGATTGTTTCTTAGTAAAGAGCCTTAAAACTGAATTAAAAAAATCTAAAATGTTATATTGAAAAACTGTAGAAAAAATAAATAAGAGAACAATTTTATAATGACTGATCGGGAGATTGACTCTAGACAGAATGACCAAAAAAAAAGTGCCAAACACAGTTTTTTTTAATGTCTCTAAAAGGTGAATGTATCTGTAATCATAGAAAGTCGAGATAACAATTTGTTTGCGGCAATTTAGAACTGTAAATAAGAGACAGAATTGTCTCAGTGCTCAACCGATACTATAAAATATTGTATTGAGAAAATAAGCCCAAAGCAATAAATAATGTATAAACAATTAAAGGAAGCAAGGAACGCTTTCCCTAAGATAAATATGTTTCAGCTATTAAGGGGCCAAAGCTCTGTGTTTGGTAAAAAGGCAATGAGAAACAGGAATTAAAAAAATGTGTTGAATTGAAGCAGAAAAAATCATCAACAATAAATAAAATTGTTACATGCATCGGAAATGTTTGAAATTCCCGAACCTAATTTCCTAAAATATTGAAATAGTTTAATTTTATGAAATTGTTTTGTATAATTTTTCATGAGAAAATATTTTTCACAAATAAGTTTCTCATTCTCTCTCAATGAGGATCGAAAATGAGGGGTATAGTGCCCTAATTCACATATCAGTCGTGATTTGTTGTTTAGCCCTAGAGCGCGAAAATATTTAAGGACCATTTTTACTAAAGGCGATTCACGCAGTTGTGTGTCTCCTTTTCACCTAAACCATTTCTAACCAAAAAGATAATTAATGATGCGCGCCTGCTGTACCGAGGGTCCGTTTGTAGGGGGAGGGTACTATTTCCATAGAGGGATTTTATATAGGGGACAAAATCCTTTTTCCAGGAAAACGGCATGAAAGGGAAAAACAATTTTCCCTTACCATCGTTCAATTATACTCTCGTTAACATATATCGTTCACCGTTTTTGAGCCATTTTCAAAAATGTCTGAGTTAAAATATATAAAATCTTCCAGAAATGGTAATCTCTTGCTTTACAAAAATGATCTCTGCAATATATATCGATAATATAAGGGCGACACAATTTGTTGGAGATGCGAAGATATCAATTCCAGGGCAAAATTTATAATAAAAAATGGTACCAAAAATATACAGGTAAGCAATTTATTTTAATAAATATTATAATCTTCATTATAATACCCAGCTTAATATTTTACATCGAATTCACTTTTAAAATTTTACAATCGAATTTATACAATTATTATTATTTAAACATTAATTTCATTTTAATATATTTGATATTATCTTTCTTTGATATAAATATAAGAACAAAGTGAAAATTTAATTAAAAAAACTCATTTGATTAGGGCCGTAAACAAGAGTCCGTATTATGAATCACATATTTAATAGGAAAATCGCTCATTCATTTTACACAGTAAACAGACATTCAAAACAACTTTTTTAAACTATTAAACATATTCCTAATTTATTAATAAATTTATTTCTATATCAATTTTAAAATACAAATGTTTATGTAAATTTAAACTGTAAATTTATAAATGCCATTTTAAAAACAAACTGAAATTTAGTTACAACTTTGAAAGTTTATTCAAAATAAAATTTATTCATTTAGAAAATGTAAGATTAATTCCCAGTTTAGTTTATATGACAATCTATTCTTCTCAAAAATGGTAAGGCCAGAAATAAATTCCCTGCAATTTGTAAATTGGCAAATTTATGTACGTTGTTTGAACAATTAGAGAACAGTTAAATATCATAACTGAAACATATTCTGAGTCTACGACTATGATCGTTCAGCTCCATAGCCATCTAACTTTATAACTAACCCACATGTGCGTTACATGGAGAGGAAAACCACGCTAACCTCGCCTGGATAGCACGATTTAGAAATTGATTTTGATCCGTCTGCCGCTCAGGATATTTTATACCAGCAGTGTGGTTAGTGCGATCAAGGAGCAGAATTCGTATCAACCAGCCGCAGCTGGGACTCGAACTTATGTCACCTCATTGGGAGATGAATGATCTATTCCTTCAGCCACCACTGCTCGATTTATTTAATTGTTCTTTTCACAGAAGTTTAGTTTCCCCGATCCGTAATTTTTCCACACTTACGTTATCTCAAAATATTTGATTTTTTTTTCTGGCCCAATCTTATGTATACGGCTTCATTTTCTGCATACACTTTTCTTTTCTGAATTATTCATTATCTCTAATATTACTAAAAACAAAATTTACCTCGCAGTTAATACCCCTAAACTACTTCGCTAAATTATTTTTTTCCTTCTGTTCAAATGAAAGGGAAAAAGGGATTTTTCCCAGCGCTTCGAAAGAACGAAGATTTTTTTTCAGGTCTGTGGTTCTTTCAATTTTCCTCTTTAACTCTCTTTTTTTATCACCTGTGATTTAGCAAACTCTCTCTCTCTCT